CCCTCTGAGGCTGCTTCCAACACTGCTTTCCCGGACCTGCTGAGGGACCCTTTGGTTCCTGCTTGGTGCCCTTTGGCCCAACAATTTACTACTTTATCTTCTTGCTTTTTGTTATGTTAGGGAAGTTTTCTTCCAACAACTCTTGGACAATATTCTCTTTTTTTTTTTTTTTTTTCTTCCTTTTCTGGAAAGGAAATGAGAAGGGAGGGAACTGGCCCCAACCACCCTCGTTATTTCAGCAGGAGCGTTATGGCCGCTTGTTCTGAGCGTGTGCGTTCCCGCGTGCACAGTTTCCTCTCCCCTATTTTGTTTGGACTGGGGCAAGATGTCATTCAACTTGTAACAATGATCACCGGCCACAGCCAATCAATGAACCCAGATCACTGAAATCCTCTCCGAATAGAAATTCTCTTTGTGTTGCCAGCTCTCCTATAGAAGATACACTTCTGGTCCCTAAAGGAAGTAGTTTATCCTGAGCATTTTTTAAAAAACTCAGTCCTGCATTCCAAAGGCTTTTCCTGGTATGATCTTGAGTTTTTTCCTCAAGCATTTTTTTTTTTAAAAGCATTTTATTGTGTTTAAGGTGAAAGTTTATACCACCAATTAGGTTTTCCATTTAGCAATTTCTATGCAAATTATTCCATGATGTTGGTGACATTTTCCATAGTCATTGTTCTCATTCATTCCTCCTGTTGAAATAGTTCCCAGTGCTCTAGTTTCCCCACCTCCACTTACCTTTCCATCTTTGCTTTAGAGTTATTTTTGACCATCTGATTTCTTATCATTGGTTTTTTGGGGTTTTTTTCAAAGGTTTTATTTTATAATCCAATCTGTTATTTAGCTAACACAGGATCTCAAAGAATAATTTTGGTTTAAGGTTTGGAGTGTATCTCACGACAACTGTCTCAGGGAGTCCTTCAGTCTCAACTGATATAAAAAGACAAGACTTTTTAAAGAATCTGCGCTCAGTTCCACATTTTTCTCTTCTGTACATCTAACATGACTCTGGTCAGAATGGTCAATAGTGACGGTTAGGCACCATCTAGTTCTTCTGGCCTCAGGGTAGATTGTTAATTTCAGCTCAGTTTTGAAGCAACCAATGAGTCACAGACTACCACTTGGTTTACCTGTAATCTCTATTCACAGTGTAAAGAAAGACCCACCACACAGAGTTGGTATTCTAAAAGAACATCTATTAAATATGAAAGTCAGAGTTGTAGTGATGAAACCTAGTTTGTTAGTTTCTGCATTTGCTGCCCAAAGTGAGACTATTGCATATGAGCTTTTATAAACATGATAAACACATAAGAAATCTATTTCCAAAAGGCTATAATAATTTTAAAGAGTGAATGAAGGGAAGAGGGAGAGATCAAATACCAACAACCAAAATGTAAGAGTAGTTGAGCTCAGTAAATGCGGACAGTAGTATATTAGAAAGGTATCTCTATGTCTAGTTGTTTGACACTTGAGCTGACTTATTGAAGAAATCCTTTAACACCATCCCAACGGATATTGGACAGCTCACTGGCTAGTTTCTATTGAAATGAGATGGGTCAGAAGGTGGCATTCACTAAGCAGTTCACACTCACCAGTTGCTCCAAGGGAGAAAGGAGAGGTTGTTAAGCTCCTATAAAGATTTACAGAGTCTTGGAAATACTACGGAGCAGTGCTACTCTGTTTTATATGGCCTCTGTGAGTTGGAACCAACTCAGCAGCAATGGGTTCTTTTGATAGACCAATTTAGTTATGCCAACTCATTTAAACCTTACTAGGAGTCTGTGGCGCTGTGGGCTAATGCATCAGACAGCAAAGTTGCTTGAACTGTAAGGTTGGTGGTTCAAGTTCACCAGTTGCTCCTTGGAAACCCTACACAGGGTCGCTATGGGTCGGGACCGACTCGATGGCACTTAACAACAACAACAGGAGCCCCCTGGTGCTGTGGGTCAGGTGGTGGGCTACTAACTACAAGGTTGGTGGTTCAAACCCACCAGCTGCTCCTCTGAAGAAAGATGAAGCTGTCTGCTCCCATAAAGATTTACAGCCTTGGAAACCCTACACAGGGCATAATGCATCAGAATTGACCTGATGGCAGTGGGTTTGATTCCCTAGGAGACTGGGTTAAGTGCTTCGATACTAGATTAAAGATTGGTAGTTCGAATCCATCCGGATCATCTCAGAAGACAACCTGGTGATCTACCTTGGAAAGGATGCAGCTTTAGAAGTCCTGAGGAGAAGTTCGACTGGACACACAGGTCACCGTGAGCCAGACTCCACCACAGCGAACACAGCGCCCCCAAGTGGTCCAAGTTTCTAATTGTGTCCGCCAGCAGCTACTGCAAAGCCTCTCGTCTCAGTGTTTCTATGAATATGCATTGTTGAAAGAAACCTACAACCACTGGTCTAGTTTTGATGTTTTTGTAACATTATGACAAGGACCATTCTAAATATTCCTATTCTGATCAGATCACGAAGATTGTTGTTGTTGTTGTTGCGAAGTTCTTCTGAATCGGTTCTGACTCGTAGTGACCCTGTACAGCACTGTGACTAAAATTAGTGTAGATGAACTATAAAGGCTAGAAATTGACTTCCCTGATCCTTATATATTGATGTTGTCAAGTGTCATCGGGTCAGTTACAACTCAAAGTGACTCTCTATAAACTTCCAAGGAGCAGCTGGTGGGTTTGAACTGCCGACCTTGTGGTTCTCAGTCCAGTTTTGATCATACAGTGCCACACCACCAGTTTTGAACCTAACTTTATATACAGCAGATATTCAAAGCTCTGCTGGCCCTCAAAAGCCAGGAAAAAAATTCCTCACTCCCAGTTGTCAAAGTGAGTTCTGACATTTGCGAAGTGGCTCTTAGCTTTGTTTTGTGAACACATGATCTAAAACCGCCTTCCAGATGAATAGATTCTGTAAGGATCTTTCTATAGGGTTAGAAATACAGTCTGCGTAACAACTGGGATGAGCATTCCTCATTGGAAGTTGACATGAGACTGAACCAGAGCCCAAGTTGGTTTCAAGTCTCTGTGAAAGTGACCCTGGATTTACCAGGAGGAGGAGATCTGGAGGGGAGGGGAAGAGAGAGATGAGAAAGGATAAGAGGTATAGGCGCAAGGAAAAACAAATGTCTTACCAGGTTCTTGTTGTATTTTGTGATTGTTTTTAAACCAGGTGATCTGAGGCTCTGGTACACCTTTAGCGTGACAGTCTAGAATGGTAGAGTTGCTGATGGTCACCGTTTGGTCACTGAGGTTTCTCAGGAGGTGTGGAGTTTCCTGATCTAGTGAAAGAAAGGGGATTGTGGTTACATCATCAGTTTAATCCTCTCACGGGATGCGCACACTGACATTTGACAGAAGTAGAGAAGTAACAAAACCCAACTCCCATGTTCTCATTTGTACTTTGTTCCCTGCATTTCTCATTTAATGACTAACAGGCTGCTCCCTCTCAGAGAATTTGCGACAATAAATTGAACTTTGTGAGGACACAGTGGGATCAAGAACTAAACTCTCTGTTTTCACATCTCCAACTTGTTTTCTTCCTCTTCTTGGGGGCCAGCTTTGCTAAAGCCCAGGGACTTTGTGCACCATGTTAGGAGGCAGAGGTGACAAGCATGATTTGGAATATAGGCTTGTAAGGAGTGTTCATGGAAACAGATCACATATTTGTTAACAGTTGGGCTTGTATCATTTTGGGAGTCGTTTCATCCATGTGTTTGTGAGGATGTGTTTGTGTTAGTTACTCAACTGACGCTAACCTAAATCGCAAGACAGCTGGCCCAACCGGGGACGAGTTCTTGCCTCCGCTCCCTCCCCAAGTGCAAGGCCAAAGAATTAAATTCAAGAGACAAAGGCACAGGTCTGTCATTTTTGCACTATATAATAGCACAAATATTATATTTTATATTATTTTCTCTTAAAACATACACATATGATACAATACAATTTATTTCAATAAAATGCCAACCAATATAGTACAACAAAATGAATTTAATACATTAGGATGTATACATCACAACATGAAAATCCTACATAGAAACAGCAACACAGACAAAGTCCCGGCGAGTACAGTGTCTCTATTTAACTAAGTAGTAAAGTCAGTCCTGCTGATCAGTAGACTTTCTAGTTAGGCGGGTACTGGATCAGTGGTCCAAATGTCCAAGGTAAAAGAGCAAAAATCAACTCTTACTATCTTTCCTGCCCTCCCAAATCATCCCTCCCGAACCCCCCCAACCTGGTTAGAAATCCTGGAGCAGAAATCAAAAGGCATCACTAAGAGCTACACATTAGGAGTTTCAATGAAGCTGGCTTTCTCGGACCTGTCTTCATTCCTCATCTAGTTCCTACAGCTGTGAACCCCACTGAGGAATGACTCGTGATCCACAGAGCTGATACATCCCTGGGTGTTAGAGTCCATGGCACCTGAGGGAGTCTGCTGAGCCCCAAACCTGTCTCCTGTCTCTACAGGGACCAGGATTAGTGTCCTCGGTTACCCAGGTTACCCAGAACTCGCTTGTATCACTTTGATGTCATGTTGAAGTACCAATGAATACCATGGCAGGGCTATCATCTGTTAGAAGTAAGACACAACTCGTGAAGTTTAGGGTTCCCTGGGGTATGATTCATTCTCCTCTCATTTTATACAGGCTGGAACCTCAAGGCAAGCACAGGGCTAAAGGGGGTGTCCTGATGTATCCAACCTTCTCCTCACCAAGGTGGAATAAATGACGACACATCTCCTCTGCAGTACACCTGCCTTCCCTCTTCTATCTTGCCCCTAAAAGGCAGAGTTGCCATGAATAGATTCCCATGCTGACCTTCTGCTTAGTCTGTCAGAAACCTGCCATTTCTGGTCACTTGTTCATGCCTCGTCACGTTGACATTTTTCAGTAGCAGGGAGCCCATACACGCCAGGGAAACGTGGTAAGGTGGTTAAGAACAGCATCACGTTCCAACTATTATTCAGTGGCTTTGACAGGCGCCTGCCAACTCAGCTCCAGTTCACACAGTCAGACTTCGAATCCATTCTTTCCCCTAGCACAGCTATGATGAAACAATCTCTGGCTGCCCCATCTGCCTCTTTAGCACAAGTTAGTCTGATTACAGGCTCACAACATCCAAATGATTTTCAGAGCTACCAATGATAGCATCGTCACCTCAGGCAGCATTTGGGTTTCCCTGACAAGCGTATTGGAAAACGGTGCTAACATTAAATAAAAGGGCCTTTTATTTGAGCAAATACAACACGAAGCTCTCCCAAAGGCGCTATTTCTATACAACACACTTCAGACAGGAGAAACATAGATGTCTGTTAAATACAGGGTTCTCATGGACATGTATACAGTTTATATATGTATATATGTCTATATATATTTCCCCTTTGTACCCATTTCTCTTCTGCAAAAACTCTCATTTCTGTCTAGTTTCTAAGTGAACAATTTTGTACACGAACCATCCAAGGAATCCTATTTCATCAATTTCCACTTTATACACGACAGTAACACAATTTGACACTTGGAAGCGAGTACTTTGAAATTGTATTTGATAACCTAAGTTGCGTGGTTGAAGTAGATAGCTGATTTCTAAAATTTAACCGTGTGACTGATCCCTTCAAATTGTGACGAATCTGCTTTCATAGGACTAACAGGACATTTCTGCTGGTTATGAATAGCCAAGGATATAGCACCCCATTGGATTCTTGGTTAACTTTTCAATGATCCACCAGGTCCCCTAAATCTTCATCATTTCTCTTCTCCACTTGGAATGGGGACTAAGGATCCAGCCTCATATCCCCTACTCCCTCTAAATTATTCTCCGTATTAGGTTTTTTGTGTTTTTCTCCTTTTCTCTTTTATTCCCACTCCATTCCCCACCTCCTAAAAAAGGAGGTCCAATAATTTCTTTCTGTTTTTTGAAACTCTTTGGAAAGGGATTCATGATATAGTGAATAATTAATTACTCTAAGGAATTGACAGAAGTCATCTCCTGTGAATGCTAAAGTTGCTTGTTCCAATTTAAGGAGGAAATAGTAAATTCTGCCTGCCCATCTCACCATGTTTCCCACAAGCAATCCCAAAATTGGTCCATCTGCTGTTTTAGCCAGGGGTAAAAACAAGGCAGTGCCTGCTTCCTGAGGGAGCACACACACTCCGACTTTGTAAGGACAAAAAGACGCCAGGCCAAAGAGCTATAGGTAAAATTGTAAGATACAATTGATTATTCTTCCCTTTGGTTGACAACTTCCAGGTGACTAATTGTTTTCAGAGCTGCTTGGGCGCTACAGAACTGGCATTCTGCGGGAAATGGTATTGTTTATTCTTTCACACTTGACAAAAGCAATTCCCACGTGAAAGACAAGTGGAGCCGTGGGACAGAGCCTGTTCCTTACAGAAGGAAGCAATCTGGTGAGTTCCCAAGCCTGAAAAGCTGTCCTAGTTATTCCCCTCCACCCCCACCTCTCCTTCCAGTGAACCGCCCGGCCATTTTGCTTCACGGCCATGCTATTTTGGTCCTTACGGTTTGTTTTCCTGCAGCTTGTAAATTACATACACAGAACGACCAGTCAACAATGCAAGTGTAATCGGTGAGAGCGTCACCTCCTGCTCAAACCTCTCCGTGGTACAGACACGTTTTGGTTTTGTTTTAAATGGCTTTGGGTTCGATTTCTTGTACTGTGGCTCTTTCTTAATCCCCATGTTGGGGAAACTCCACAAACCTTTTGTTTATGGAGAAAGTGGGTCTTGTTTTCTTTCTCAAATGGGCACATTGCGACCAGACGCTGGGAAGACAGCACAAAACCTCTGGGCAGGGTGGTTTTGACCTTCCTGGATGAATCTGAACATGGTACATTTTTGAACGTCATCATTTTTACACGGTGAAGTCCTTTGGAAGGATGACGAGGGGACAGGCACATTTCAAATGAAGACTTGGCCCACTTTCAGATGCTGCCAGCCAGTCTAAGTGGGAAAGCCTTTCTCGGGACCCCTCTGGTAGCTACTTAGAATGGTAGGAGATGAGCAAAGTGGGGTTGATTTGACTGGACCTTTGTCCTTCAGCTCATGAGAAAGCATTTGACATTTCTGAATGACACCAACATTCGCCGCCCACCCCTTTCCCCCACCCAGGACCCAATTTAAGAACTCCAGTTTAAGCTCAACGTGCTTAATGTAAAAAAAGAAAAAAAAAAAAAGCATTTTCAAATAAATAAGCATTATAACTTTCTATCCAGGTGCTATTTACAAATCAAGAGCAGATGAAATAGTCCAAAATACAAATACAACCAGGCAGGGATCCTGACAAGAACCTCCGATTCAACCGGACTCGTCCTGAGCTGGAACATGAATGTATTCATTGTCCATCTTTGGCAGAACCCCAGCCTCTGTTTAAAATGGTTCAGTTCGTGCCACTTTGAAACATACAGGTTAACAAGCGGTTGCCATCAAAAGTGGAAGGAAAGGGGTCAGCCAGTCCCCTGTTGTCGTGAATCAGCAGGAGAAGACAGCAAAGAGCAGACATAGAAATGAAGCGCAGGGGACCCTCCAAATCCAAAGATGCACCACGTCAGGCACAGAGAGCAGAGCCCTGAGGTCTCAGTAGGACTCCTACCATCTCCAAACTCAGTTTTGGGAGGAGCATGTCCTCGAAGCCGAAAAGTTAGCAACCGTGACAAGAAATCAAGATGATATGAGACAACTCTTACTTGTCAACGAGTCCTTTAATGTTTTACATTACTTTGTGTGGTACAATCACTCCTTGTGCGTTTAAATTTGGAGATCCGAGAGAAAACAGCTTTTCTGTTGCAGTGCTCACCTCTAATTGTCACTTCTATCTTCAGGAGAACGTCTTCCCCTGTGAACACGTTCCTGGATCGGCAGGCATAGGTGCCTGAGTCTTCCAGGGAAACGTTTTTGATGGTCACATTCAGTGTCGTGGAGTACTCTTTGACAACTGCCATTTTTTGCTTGCTGATACTATGGTGCATGGTCCGGTTATTCAGGGTCCGAAGTCGAATCCAAGTGATGTCTCGGTATAAGAACTTGTTAACTGTGCAGGACAGTTTCAGGTCCTCGCCTTCCGTGGGCGTTTTGTCCAAGTGAACATGAAAACCATTGGGCACATCTGTAAAACAAAAGAAGAAAGAACTTCATTCACAGTAAAAGCAGTGTTGTCTCATGCTTCTAGACTCTGAAGAGCTATTCCAACACAAATTCTCTCAGCCTAGCCATTACAAGAAGGAGCGTTGCTCTTTTAACGTGGAGAAAATGGATCAAACACAGCAGGTAAGAGGCAAAGAAGTTCATGCCGTTCAGAAAGGCGGCAGAAAATGCAAAACAAGATAGATGCTTACTGTTGTTGTTGTTAGGTGTCGTGGGGCTCACAGCACAACAGAACGGGGACACTATGTCATCCTCACAGCTGTCATGTTTGAGCCCACAGTTGCAGCTACTGTGTCAACAACGTATGATAGGATGGTACTTTTTCCTCATTGGCCCAAAGATGCTCTTCAAAGTGGATTTTATTTCCCCCTAACTTGGGATGATAACTAGGTTTCCCATTCTTTTATCTGTTGAAATGGGCAATGGAAGTGGGCAAAATAATGAAGAACCATTTGTACTAAAGACTAAAGATGCTTTTCTGATCCAAATGATTCAGAATAGACTGCTGAGTGGAAGCAAGTGGAGATTTGTTGTTGTTGTTGTTATGTACCGTGGAGTTGGTTCCGACTCATAGCGACCCTGTACAGGGTTTCTGAGGCTGTAAATCTTTACGGGAGCAGACCGCCTCATCTTTCTCCCGTGGAACCGCTGGTAGTTTCGAACTGCTGACCTTGCGACTCGCAGCCTGATTCGTAACCACTACACTACCAGAGCTCCCAACTCATAGCGACCCTACGCACAACAGTGGAGACTAGTAAGTCCCACGTACGCACGCGCCAGATTTCCTGATGCCAATCAAACCGACTTTCATCCTAAACATTTCCAGTGGAAAACAACGACTTTTCTGGAATTTCCTGTCCTTCTTACTGCTGTTTCAGATGGCCACCAGCAGTCTTTGCTGGCACACTGGGTTAGATGAACCAGTTTACTTACTTGGGTAGAAAACAGCAAAGATTTCTTTGACAATCCAGGCAAGCAGTCTAAAAGACAGTTGCCCAATTCCACAGTGGGGTCGGGGTGCATGGAAAGTCATTTTTAAGAAATTGAATTTATTCCCAGAAACATTTTTAGCACTTTCTAAGAGTGACAAAGTCGTGCAAGACCATTTTCTCCAATGCCACGTACCACCTCCAAATCACCTTCATTATGCCTCCAAGTTCTTCTCCTACCCGGGACCGGCATTTTAACTTTTGGGTTGCCATTTTGGACTGTTTTCCCAAAGGACTTCTATTTTTTTTAAATCCTGGTTACTAGCCCCTGAATGTATCTGCTCTGCAAACCTTCCCATCACTACTTACTGGTGGTGATCTGCATTTGAGCAAAGAATCCGGGCCAACATTCTGCAAAGTACTTTGAAGATGAAAAGTACTATGTTGTGCTATTATTATCATCATCATCCTCTGCACACAAAGCTATAAAGAAACCTTTAAACCTTAAGGGGACAATAGTCCAAAATTAGATGTCAGATCAACTCTTTTCCTAAATCTCACTTTGCTTGTTTTTTCTGATTTTGTTAGACTTTGGCTTTATTATAAAGTGTCACGTCTGAAGGAATGCCAAGTATTCATTTGAAACCTGGGAGCGGTGGGTCACAGCGGCTTATGAAACTGTCAGTGGTTGGGAGAGAGAGGAGACCAGTGGAGGCTTTCCTGCTTTTAAGATGAAAATCTAAGAATGTTCCAGAAGAGAGGAGTTGCAGCTGACAGTCATTTTTAACATAACCCTGTTGGTGTTGTTAGGTGTCCTAGAGTATAGTGACTCCAGGGGACAGAGTCGAACTCTGTCCTCATCGGATTTCCTAGGCTGTCATCTTTACGGGAGCTGAGTACCAGGTTGTTCTCTTGGGGAGCAGCTGGGGGGTTCAAGCCACTAGCCATTCAGTTAGTAGTTAAGCATGTAACCAGTGTGCTCCTCAGCACAGCAGTGGACCATCAGAAACTCCAGCTCTCATTTGCCATCTTGTTTTGACTGGGGACGTTTTCCAGGCACAAGAAGCAAGGCACACGCCATTAGTTTCTGCACAAATATTAGAGCCAATGTACCGTGTGCCGGTGGCAATCGAAGCATTTCTTAAAAGACCACAGCGTTTCTATTTATGAGACCTCCTTCTGGTCGTTAGAACCCATGAACCCAAGTAACACCATTGAGGTCATGAAGAGAGCTTCTATTTACTTTAGTGATTTGAAACTTCCTGTGGAAATAGCTCACAGGTTCCCTGATGCAAGATTTTGTTTATCTTTGCCAAGCACCACCAGGAATCTCAAAATAAAATGCATTTAAGTGCCATTGGAAGACCAGGAAGAGAGGGCAGAGATGTTCCTGTTTCACCCTCAGTAACTGCGAACACACCCATCACCCCGCAGAATGCCAGCAAAACAGCAAAAGCACACACGTTGGAACAGAGAAGAAACAAGTCAGTTCTGGGGTCTGTCTGTTCGGCAGGGGACGCCATCACTGAAGGGAATTAGGTTTGGGCTACCACATAGCCTCTTGGAGATGTGGATCTAGTTCTCAGTACAGGGCCCTTTGGTATCTTTTTTGGATCCAGGCAAGATGATAAATAAAATGTCCTCAGTGATTGAACAATGCAGAGGGATTTTCCCTTAATGCATGTTGGTATTTTGTTTTGTCTTTTTTAGCTTGAGTGAAACTGCAGACCCAAGAAAGAATTGCCTTCTAGTGAACGTGAGAACAAGAAACTTTCCCCCACTTTTAGTGAAGTCTCTATTGCAGATTTGGCACAAACATCCTTATCATCAATTAGCATCTTTCACACCCCCGGCATCTGAGGAGATGCCAGGGCAAAGAATCAGCCCTTATTTGAAAGTGACATTCAGCCCAAGACTAGGTGACAGTCACCCACTTACAAAAGTGGGTGTTGAAAGCGCGGATATTTTGATGTGCATGTGGATTAAGTTCATGAAAGAAACCAGCGAAGAAATGGAAAGGAGTGACAGAGATCTCATGCATCTGGTGGGAGTAAGACCCGTGTTTCCATGAGTAATGTAGTTCCACTGGAGTACTAGAAGAGTGTTCTTTAAAAAGAAAGTCCGTGTTTACTAGAAACTGTGCATCTTTCAAGGAGTTGCTCACAAGCAAACCAAACGCACTGCCATGGGGTTGATTCCAACCCGTAGCGACCCTGCACATCAGAGCAGACCTGCCAAGCATTCCGGGAGCAAACAGCTTCATCTTCCCCATGTGGAGTGGCCGGTGGGTTTGAACTGCCAACCATGCTGTTAGTAGCTGACGCTTAACCCACTGCCCCACCAGGGCCCCTTTCAAGTAGCTGCAAATGCCCAAGTTGAGTCCCTCCAGCAGAGGATGGGAATGGTGTCACGGTTTAGCAGTTTCCATTCACCTGGGAGGCGACTGAAAGTGTCCTGCTTTCTAAGGAAGTGCAACGTGGTTGAAATGGGACTCTGTAAAGACCCAAACCTAGATTTATTTACTCAGGCAACGACAGTTTTCTGTTTACTTTTACATTTTGAAAATCCTGCTGCTGTTATCAAGAAGCAGGGACAACGGACAACATGCTTTGAGTGTGCAGTCATTCTTGTCTGAGTTCTTCCCGCCCCCACTGGTGGTGGTGGTGGTTGGTTGCGTGCCGTGGAGTCGGTTCCGACTCATAGCGACCCTGTACAGGGTTTCCAAGGTAAATCTTTACGGCAGCAGAAAGCTTCATCTTTCTCCCGTGGAGCAGCTGGTAGTTTCGAACTGCTGGCTGTGAGGTTAGCAACCTGACTCATAACCACTACATTACCAACACTTTTCAAAGCATTCCCTTCATGGAAGCAAGAAGAGTTCATCGCTCAGAAAACGAACACGAAAGGGGCACCATGCCTAAGAACGTCTTCATCCCACCTCTAAGAAGACTATATGGTGGGACAAAGATGTGAGTGAGAAACAAAGAAAGAAGAGAAGAATTCATTTACAAACACAAGTGTGAACATAATTCCTAAGATCCGTTATCAGAAACAGAGCTTCCCCAAACCAACCCAAAGCCACTGTATTGAGTTGATTCTGGCTCACAGTGATCCGGTAGGAGGGAGAGCATCTGAAATTTGGAGCAAGCCTAAGCCAGGTGACTGGGCTTGAGGGGTTCAATTTGTGCTCAGCTGTAAAGCTCCTGAATTTCCAGGGAAGTATGTATGTTCAAATAGGTATGTTCAAACTACATGCTCCTAATCCCTTTAATTCGCTGCAGAATAAGCAGTGGACTGCTAACTGTAAGATCTGCAGTTTAAGCCCATGAACCACTCCTTGGAAACCTTGTACAGCATTGTTATGAAGCAGAACAGACTTGACAGCACTTAACAACGACAATTCCTTTTTAAGGGCTCGTGTAGAAACAAACCACAAACTGTGCTGGTGAGCGGAGGGATTTCTGCCTGGGACTCTTTTGACAACAGCGTCATACACAGAAATCGGATGCAGCTATTAAAAACTGGGCTAGGCAAGACATGGGCGCTGTAATTAATTCTGAGCAGCAATGAACCTCTTGGCAAGAAGGAAATGGTCAGTCTTAGCACATCCTTGTCCAATTCTTCCCTCAGCCCCAGGCATGAAGCACCCTAACCTGAGCCTTTCATGGCTGTATTACAGCTGTGCCCCTGTAGGGTCCCACTGACAAATGGTGGTAGGGCTAATTGGAATCCCATAGTCCCTCTTCAAACAATCTCAAGCAAGTGGTCCGTTGGCCCAGTGACAAGCCTGCTTCTCAGTGTGCGCAGTGGCCGAGGGAAGACTGTTGGCCCAAGTGTGGACAGTGGGAATGTGTAGGCTAGGGAGGAGAAGGCAGGTGAGCCAGGGGTCAGTTCCTTCTACATGACCAGGTGCTGCTCCATGCTGCCGGGGAACTCTGAGAAGCCCCCAAATTCTCAGTCTGTGGGTTCACCATGGGGGTACAGTAGTCTGCAGGAAGTTGGAACACATTTAGCAGCTTGTGAGCTTCATTTAACACTTGGAAGTGGTTAGATATACGGTTTGTGGGCCTCCTTTGAAACGCTTGCCTTGGCTCTGGAAATGGCAGAGGAAGGCTGTCCTCTTCTCTCAGCCCATTCTGATTCTGTCCTCCCCAAAGAGTTACCTCAAGCCTGGCTTCCTCCTTAGAGGCTTAGAGCCATACTCTCCAATACAATGCCTACGGAGCACTTGAGGAATGGCTAATGAAATTGGAGAACTGGATCTGGTCTGTTTGATTTGATTGCATATTGAAACGATAGCTTCCATGACATTACTTCAGCACATACATGTTAATACTAAGACAGTTGGATGGAATATTTCTTGTTTCTTGGTTGCTAGAACATTATACTGATGGCTCTTCAAGTGCCCAGCACAGAGCTGAAGTGTCCTGCTTAACAGCCGTGGTGGTAGTGGTGTGCACTCAAGTCGGTTCCACTCATAGCAACTCTGAATAGGGTTTCCAAGGATGGGTTTGTACCACTGACCTTGTAGTTAGCAGTCCAGCACTTACCCTACACTAGTACTCACTGGACTTCCACCAACATGGTGGCTACCCATTCAGAACAGAACAGGAGTTGCTCAATTTGAGGGGACAGTAATCTGGGTGAGAGAGTGGCTATGGATTTAGGTGCTAACTCATTCCCAGCTTAAATGCAAGGGACCTTCAAAAAGTTCATGGAGAAATTCCATTCTTTCTTCCTTTCATTTTTCCATGAACTGTTTTGAAGCCCCCCTCACACAAGGATGAATCCAAATCATGAGACTGATTTGTAAACAAACTCTTTGACATCTCTCCCTGAATCCCCCCTTCCCATAAAGGGATTTGCAGACACATAGATACTTCCTCCTTACAATTCCCTGATCTGAGACCACAGTGGTTGAGTTGGCGTGGCGGGCTCAGCTGTGTCCCTCTCTTTAACTGTCCCCTGCTCTCTTCGCATCCGTAACAGGAGGGAGGGAGCCATCCGGTGACGTTCTCTGGGAGTCTCCTCATGGCTGTCTCCCACGGCACTGCTTCTCAGGGGCTGGGTCATGCAGAGATCTGAGGACCCCAGGTCTCATGCAACCAGACATTCTTATTTCTTTCTGGAAAATTCTAAGCAACTGCTGCAGCCTGCCCCATGCAGTGCAAAGTTTCCAGAGAGTTGGCAGGCCACCTAGGTTTCCTCAGAAATTGGGGGAGTATGGAGCCAGGCAATTGTTTTTATACTTTGAGCTACGGACTTCCTTCCTGTGCCCATAGAGGGACCCAGGGAGTGTCACCTGTGTATCTTGGAAGCTTAAAGACTTGCAGTGACCACCAAGTAGAAGGCTAACGTATTTAAATGCTCCCAGAAGAGAGCATATTTACTACTGAAAACAAGGTTCAGTTTCAGGTTTCAGTTGAAACTACTTACGTGGCGAAACAATTAGCTTCGTAGTTAAAATAAAAACAATCATGTTATTGTATCACATGTCATGTTATAGTTCCCATGATAGTTAGTGAACACCTGTCTGAAGAGTTCGTATGTTAGTCTCTGCGCTCAGTCCTGAATCGAGTTCAATAAAGGAATGCCACCATCTCTATTCACAGTTCGCCCAGGGAGGAGACATACGAGGGGGATTCAAAAAGTCCATGGGAAAAATGGTATGAAAAGAATGGAATTTTTCTACAAACTTTTTGAAGCTCGCCTTCCCCCCTTGTACACAAATAACTCTTAAGAGAATTCAGGGAAATAACTCTTTAGGAGATGCAAGGATGTTGAAGAATTCTGTTCCTGAGAGCAAGGATGAAGGCACTCAAGGTCTGACAATTCTATGGAGTGGTGTGTGTGTGTGTGTGTGTGTGTGTGTGTGTGTGTGTGTCAGATAAAGACTGCTTAAGCATAGCTGTAGTAAAAGCAAACAGGATGGAGGAGAGACGGAGGTGAGTGGACTCTTCTCCTGGTGTCTGTCACTTGACTTACCTGTGACATAAAAGCTTATGTTCCTTTTCAAAGTCCCTACTTTATTGGAAGCCATGCAGCTGTAGATTCCAGAAACTCTAGAGTCAGCCACAACCAAGGTGCTAGCCGTCTGCAAAAGAAAAGGAAACTTTAGCCAGCAACAGGGGGAAGAGCCATTCCAACATCCTTAAGAAACCTCTGACGGCTGATAGGATGCAACCATTCCATTCATTCAGCAAAGACAGTCTGCCCTGGTGGTGGCGGTAACCAGACAGCTGTCGCCGTGTGAAGCCCCAGCAAGAATGGAAAAATAACAGGAAAGCAGGTCCTCAGGAGATCGGGGCCTATGGCATCCGACTCCTATGAGGGTTTCAGGGTTATTTATCTCCTGTTGCCGGTGTAACGATTACAGACCAGAGCCGGAGGCACAGGGCTGCGTGCCCTAAATGATGGGAGGTGCTCAACTCCACCTCACTGAGAGGGACAGGTGAGGGCCCGGCCTTCCCTTCCCTACAGTATGGGTGACCTGGGGTCAGGAGCAAGGACAAAGACACAGGCTGGCTGAGTTATTTCCTTCTTGTTGTTGTTGTTAAGTGCCGTACCCTGTATAGGGTTTCCAAGGAGCAGCTGGCGAGATTGAACCACCGACTTTGCAGTTCAAATGACTTTGTGGTCTGATACATTAGCCCACAGCGCCACATCAGGACTCTCTTAATGTGCTAAAAAACCGTGATGGTAGTTGGAGCAAAGTGCTGGGTTCCAACTCATAGCGACCCTATATAGGGTTTTCGAGGAGCAGCTGGTGGGTTTGGACCATCAACCTTGCGGCTAGCAGTCATTGCTTACCCTCCAGTGCCTCATCAAAATGGGATTGTTGTTGTTAAGTGCGGTCGAGTTGGTTCTGACTTACAGAAACCCTGCACAGGGTTTCCAAGGAGCGGCTGGTGAACTTGAACCATGGACACTATGGTTCAAACTGACCTTGCAGTCCAGTGCATTATCCTGTGGCGCCACACCAGGACTCAGAAATGGGGTTGTTGTTGTTGTTAAGTGCCTGTCAAGTTGGTTTTGACTCATAGCGACCCTGTGTAGGGTTTCTGAGGAGTGGCTGGCGAATTTGAACCACTGATCTTGTGATTCAAAACAACATTGAGGTCCACTGAATTATCCCACAGCACCAACACCAGGATGCCTCAAAATGGAATTGTTGTTGTTGTTATTAAGTGCCATCGAGTTGGTTCCGACTCATAACGGCCCTATAAAGGGTTTCCAAGGAGCAGCTGGTGAGCTTGAACCACCAACCTTGTGGTTCACACCAATATTGCAGTCCAGCGCATTAACCCACAGCACCACACCAGGACCAAATGGGGTAGGTAGTCCCAAATGGTGTTGAGGGAGACCAGAGGCAGGAAAGTTCATTGTGGTTGTCGTGTGTGGACTTGTGTGAATGACTTAATTCTCAGTTCTGTTCTGGCAATTCTGCGTCTCAGACATGAAGACAGAAAAGATCACAGAGGAAAACAAAAATATTGTCCGATTAAATTTTAGGATTGCTCTTTCACAAGTTAGAGGTCAAGCTTACATGACCTTGAAGCGACATCCTAAAATAATGAAAAGAACGCATGATATTTTATACAGTTTAAAGGTTGGGGCCTTGTCTTCTCTTAATAGAAAAACGAGCAATACAAAACAAATATTCAAGAATTATTAACCCAGTCTTACAAAAAAACCCGCCAAATAAACCCCAAACAGTAATCAGTACTATTATATATGAAAAAATGCAAGAAACTAGTAAATTTCTCATACTTAAAATTTCAAAACAAAGCCCATTCAGCTACTTATACATCTTCACAAACTGTCTCCTGGAATCACTGGTCCCTGGCTGTAGAGGCTGAGGTGACACTTTCAGACTAATGGGGTCACCTTTCCAAAGACTCTCCAGGATGAGGAACATCAACTCACTAAGTGGTCTGGTCACTGGGCAGGATCCTAACGTTTTTCAGACTTGCTAAATTGGTAGCACAGGGTTTACAAATCGGGCTGCTAACCTCAACGTTAGCAGTTCGAGATTATCATTCATTCCCGTGGGAGAAAGATGAGGCTTTCTGCTCCCGTAAAGATTTACAGCCTCAGAAACCCTAGAGGGGGGTCGCTGTGAGTTGGAACCGACTCCACGGCACATCACCACCACCACCAAATAATGTATGAATGAGCCCTGGTGGCGCATTGCTTAAGTGCTCAGCCGCTAACCTAAAGTCTGGCGGTTCCAATCTCCTAGAAGCTCCTTGGGAGTAAGACCAGGAGTTCTGCTCCCGTAATGACTGCCTAGCTACCATGACTATGAAGTACTTCTATGTCACATGGCATGTCAACAGCACCCAACAACAACAAATAAGGTGCTCGTCCCTTTACTAACGCTCCGCTAGCCAATAAATGTCTCTGATCTCCAGATCAGGAAGACCAAAAAAAGAGACGCTCCTAGTTTTGTCCTGCCGACCTATGGGCTGTTTTTACTTGGATCTATGTACTTTTCTCGAGTCCTGGTGTGGCGCTGTGGGTTAATGCGCTGGACTGCAAAGTCTGTTTGAACCACAAGGTCGGTGGCTCGAGCTCACCAGCTGCTCCTCAGAAACCCTATACGTCGTCACTATGGGTTGAAACTGACTTGATGGCACTTAACAAGAAGTTATGTTGTGTTTTAGTTTACAGGTCTGTTGCTTCAAATTCTCTGTCATTTTCTCTATGGACTGCACTGTGAAGTTCCTGGATCCACAGGAAGATTGACGCAAAGACGCATGGAGATCGCCAAGGAAGGTTGGGCCTCCAAATGCTGACAGGAGACAAGAACGTTTCTCCAGAGTGAGGGAGAGACCATGTGGACTCCTTGGTTCTGATTCTCTGGGAGACTTCTCAGAAGCAGCTGAGTTTGAGTTCCTCAGAGAAAATAAAGGGATCAGTTTTGAAAAAAAATGATGGTTTATGTGGGTTTACATCTGCACATCCAAAGATACAGCATCTCAGCAATTTCCACATGGCTACATCTGTCAGGTGGTACCACCGTTTTCGCTACTAGGTCCACACTCCGCCACTACTGTCCTCTTAAGTGCAGTGTGTCCTAAACACCCCAGCCAGCCTCAGTCTGATCTCACATAGATATTTCTCACAACGCTCAAAGCAGGCCTACTTTCTAATGAATATAAGCAATTTGGGAAGGTTTTGGTGGATAGTGTTGGCTACAGGTTTATTAAAGATTATTTCAGGGTAGCAGTTTTGCGGGGTTCATCCAACTTCCCTGATTTTAAAAAATGTTCATGAGAATTTGAAATTTTGTTCTGCATTTGGCCCCTCTGGGTCAGGCTGTTTCTCTAGAATCTTTGATCAGGCCTTTCAGTCATGGTAGCTGGGCACCATCCAGAGCTTCTGGTCTCCTGGGAACGGAGGTGGACACGTATTCAGTTTCCTCCTCCGGGAAATGAGTTTTATATGATTGTGCCGTCTTTCCAGCTGCCACCAGGTTAGTCGTTCCTTTCATGCTACTACTCACAGGCTTCCCTTCTGTCTGGTCCTCTTGCTTTCATGACTCTTCCGTGGGTAATACAGCAGTTAAAAGGAAATAATAATCCAAAAGTTTTCATCCCCCACCTCTTAGGAAGATCAGTGATTCAAAGTATACACAGAGGCCTGAGCTCCCTTCCACACACTTCCTCCTCCGCTTGTTTGCATGAATGTTTTTCTACAAGAGAGGTTAATGGGCCTATTTGATCCTCAGATAAAGAAGTCTTCTCTGTCACCATCCTTCAAGCTGACTAAGAGTGGACACTGCGTCTCCCCTTTAACACCTGGACAATACACCTTCATCAAACCAAACCCAAACCTACAGCCACTAGGAGGACAATTCTGACTCCTAGCAATGCTGTAGGACACACTAGAACTGCTCTCCTGGGGATTCTAACACTAAATCTGTACAGGAGCATGCAGCTTCATCGTTTTCCCATGGAGCAGCTGGTGGATTTGAACTGCTGGTGGATTTGAAAAGCAGTCCAACACTTAACCCACATTGCCACCAGAAAGTCTCACCTACCATCACAGTCCCTATTAAAATCAAAGTCGAAAATGACATGGAAAATGGTATTTTTTTTGTTCTTGGGTTCCTGCATGTAGCCCAGTAGGGCACCTCACAGACATTATCTCATCTAGGGTCCCCCAAAGCCCTACAAAGTGGACCCTGTTGCCTCTCGTACAGAACAGCAGCTGAGAATCATAGAAGTTAGTGACTTTCCCAACAGGGCCGCAAATAGACCCAGGCTGAATTCATGCCTTTTAGTACCTCTGCTCTTAAACTCCGTGCTGAAGTGACTCTTGCCTTAAAACATAAATCTATTGGTAAAGCTGTGTTTACTCTTTGGATTGGGTTTCTCCTTGAGAATCTCCTCTCGAATTGCCAGAGATGAGTCATATAAGCTAATTCAACTGTGTATAGAAATTCTCCCTTCCTTCTTTCGTGGTGGTTTTACACACACAGACACACACACATACAAACACACACTCTGCCAGCTGGTTTTCAAGGCAAACACTATCAACGTGGTTTGAAAAATCTGACTGACAGATGAAAATACCATGATTAAGGAGAGCATTTCTTAAAATAAAGTGAAATAATTTAAATCCTGTGATCAACTGTACGAAAAATTATGTGGTGGCACTGTGGGTTAGACACTGGGCTGTTAACCACAAGGTCAGCGGTTCAAACTCACCAGCCCTGTGAAGGAGATTAACGAGGCTGTCTGCTCCCATAAAGATTTACAGTCTCAAAACCCTCGATAGGGTCACTATGAGTTAGAATACACTCGGAGACAATGGGTTTTGGTTTTTCTCTTCTCCCAGATAATATACAAGAGAGCTTCAAAAACTTCATGGAAATTGGCATTAAAAGATAACAGGATTTGCTCAGGGATTTCTTTGAAGCCCCTTTGTACATTTTAAAGTAGTATGTTTAGACATATGTTCATTTTGACCATTGAAGTGTACCCATTTTACAGACTTCAAGACAGGGACTTAAGTGTGGTGTGTGGGTCAGTGCGGTCTGGCCGGACTGGAAGGCAATTTCTCAATGGGCAGTAGGTCTCAGTGTGT